CGTATGTTCCACTAGGAACCCAAAAGAAAAGTAATAATAATAATAATAAAGTTAAAATCTATCTCAGTACATTGCGGTTGTGGAGATTGGTGGCCACGTCGAAGAATTATAGACAGAATTTCGCCAGCACTCAGGACTAGACAGCACGAAATTGGTTGCCTTCCAGTAACCAACCAATTTGCAGCAACCATTCGTACATTTTGAAAACCATTGTATTCTCATATACATGTCCCCTTATGTGAAGAAAAGAATTGAGTAGACTAATATGGTATGGTTTTACTTTATTAGGTTCTCGTCAGTTGTTTACTACCTATGAGAAAGTATCAACATGAGAACAGAATTGAAATTTGATACACTTAAGCTCATTGAAAACATATCAGTTGACAGTACGTTCAACATGTATGTGTATAGTAAGATTGAAAGCAACACTAATGATAGTGAAGATGATAGATAAAGCACCACAATATTTAATATTCTTATATCATTAACGAGAGAATTCTGGTTAAATTGAAAGGGTTGGCAATGAGAATATATTTTTATTACTTTTCCCTTGGGTTCCTAGTGGAACATAGCGTTTCAGTAACACTCCTCCATTGCACTCTGTTCTCTGCAGTCTTTTGAACCTTACTCTACGACTTCCCACAAGCTTTCATTTCTTCCTTACACGACCTCCTCCATGTCACCCTCTCCTTGGACGCCCAACTCGCCGTTTCCCCTTTGGACTCCACTCTAGGACGTGGCCCCAATTGATTTCCTCAGTGTATGCCCAATCCAGCCCCACCTCCTTCTGCATATTTGTTGAGCTATAGCTTCTTGGTTGGTTCGTTATCAGGCCAGCAATCCATCTAATCTTCAGTATCGAGCCAGCGTAGGTGGCAGTTGTTGATGAATGTCTGTAGTTTGTTGGAAATGTTTTTCGTAACGCACCAAGTCTCTCAACCATCACATAGAAGCACTGGCTTCAAATTGGTGTTGAAAGTTCGGATCTTGTTTTTTGTGCTGAGTGCAGTAGATCTGCACACTGATTTGAGATTAATGAAAGCCTATCTTGCTTTTCCAATCCTGAATTTGACATTCTCGTCTGTGCCGCTTGTAGTTGAAATGATGCTGCCTAGGTAAGTGAACGAGGCAACTTTCCTTAGGTTTCTCCTGTTAATGGTGATTGGTGCAATAAGAATATATAGGAATTAGAAAGGAGATGGGTTTATAAGACTAATTCAGAATCAAACAATAGTGTGTTGAGTTCAGTAGAATAAAATCAAGCTGGGTGTAAATTTAAGAAGACCCTTGCAACTACTAATGAAGATAATAAGAAATGCTGTACTAGGATATGATTAGAGTTTATTCATGAGTTAACATGATGGTTATAATTATTCATTTGGAATCACTAACCTGGTTCCAGTCCTTTAATTCCAATAGGTTCAATGCAACGATTGATTACTTCATTACTTCAAAAGATTTTAAGGCATCCAAATAGTGTATGGTAGTGATACTAGTGTGCCTTTTGGATTACTTGGTTATAAGCTTTTTGAAACATGTTCCAAAAAGGCTATGGTAAGCCTTTCTTTATGTCTTTCAGATGTATTTGTTTTGGCAGATACATGTGAACTCATATAAGTCACTGAAGTTAACAAAAGAGACAGATCTGTCGATGTTAGACTGAAGCAGTGGCAAAACTGTTAGGAGTTTGAGGATTAAACTAGCTTCAGGAGACTTTCTGAATTTTTCAACTTCGTTATTTTTTCAATATCATCACCTTGAAAATCAAGTTGAATCAAGATTGAGATTCTGCTAACTGTGATTTTCTACTATTTGTTGTATTCCTTTTTACGATATTTCTGGAAAAATATTTGTGAATAGCTATTATTGTGTTATTGTTTGTATTACACCGTCGTTGACTAGACCGAATTGATCAGTCTCTCTTGGCATTTGGGCTCCTGTACGGATGTCTCGATATTCCGTATGTTTCAGTTATGTATAGTAACGATGCGCAGTGGTTAGCAGTGGAATCCAGGATGTGCATCTCGTCCTATTTGGGACTCACTAGTCAGCTGGATGTACATGCCTCCCAGTGAGTGATGTTGTTCCCACCGGGATTCGGACTCGGGAGAGATCACTTCAGACGCCAGAGCGTTATACACTACGCTACGACGGTGTGATATAAGCAATAACACTAATACTATACCTGTCGCACAAGAAGTGGCTATCGCGGTTGCTCCCGAGTCCGAATCCTGGTGGGGATAACATCACTCACTGGGAGGCAGATACATCCAGCTGACAAGTCCCAAATGCGATGAAATGTGCATCCTGGATTCCGCTGCCCATCATTACTTTACTTGTGCTTCAAATATTTCTTGATTATCAATGATTTAGCTTCAAAGTAGAACAGTACTGTAACCAGTGTTCGACTACAACCAACTAGACAGAAGTTGTTAAAATTCACATAGAGACTATTTCATATATCATTCTGGTGAATAGATCTTCTTGGTATATTATCTGTTCCCTGTTGAATGTATTCCTGAAGTGTTTGTTTTAAGGACTACTACTATGAAACCTAGTACAATTCCTTCCTTATTTTCCTATCAACGAATAAAACTATAGGCAATCACTATTAATCAACTGTAAATTTCGTTGCATATGTTTGATCACTTTATTGTGCATCTTTTAAGGTACTGAATATAAACAACTGTATATTTTTCTTTCTTTTAATTAACGATATTTAAACGCTGTAAAAGGATAGATCGACTTTGTTGTATCCATCTGGCTGTTGGTTTTTCACTGCTAATATTTCTCATATATCTGTGACATAGCTGTCGAGATATGCTTACAGATTATCTGCATACCAAGTGGTTTGTTTAACCAAAAATTGTCTGTATTTCAATCTCCTTATGTAGATGAGTGATACTCTCACTCTCACAAAAACAAAACGGGAATCACTACTGTAACATTTCCTTAGTTTTAAGTTAACAACCATAGTTGCTTCATATATTGAAGACAGTGTAGTTTAGGAAATAAGTAAGTCATTCACATGTCAACTAATTTTGAGATAAGCATTTTTACTTCACATACTTACAATTTGTGGTAGACTAACTAACAATTCAACTAGGATTTTCGCTTTTCACATCTGAACCATCTAATCAAATGAAGTCGACCAGAAGGCCTTGAGACATGATCAACATACATGTGCAGTGGGAATACGCCTACAATAAAGTAAGTAGGTCAGTGTATCCAGTGAAATTCAGCTTGTTTTGTGAGTTTAGATAGTCTCGGATTTACGATCACTAAAATATAGCAGCTTGAATGTAATTAGTTTTCTAGGGTTCTACTATTTGGTTACAAGAACCTTGTTCACTGAATTAGGGTATCACTTTCAGGTACGAGAGGCTGCTAGATCCAAGCACCGGCGTTTTTCTCTATGTTAAAGATCGTTACTGGGAATACTGAAGGTAGAAATACAATCTTTACCAAGTCATACTCATGTGATTACCTCTAGTGTTTCATTTTTAAGCAGGGGTCAATCATAAAATGCTAACCGTTTCGACAACTTTAGGAAACACCTAGATAACGGTTTGCTTACTCTAGAAAACCTTCTACAATTTCTAGTAGACAAAAAAAGTGCTGATGAAAGCGTACCGTATATCTCTATCACATATCAATGTTCCTAACATCATTTGGAAGTTGTGTGTAAGAATATTACTACGATGAAAGGCCACTGGAGATGTGAGACAAAGCGCTGTCGAAGAGCATCAGCTGGTGTGCAAATTTCACATCGATCGGGTTGTTTTCATCACTTGGGTGGATGAAATTGTAGTTCCATTGAGTCATATCGTAATATTGACAAGTAAAGTAAGTGGTTTGAAAGCATTACTTAACCCATACAAAGTCATATGGCATTTATGGTGCACCAATATCATTGGAGTCACATAAATTGTGCTAGATATATATGTAAATATTTGTATATACTTTGAATTACAGGGTTATTTTTCATTGCTCATTACTTTCACTTAGTAAGATTTGGGATGTTCAATAGCTGTTTCAATCTGTTTTGAAATTCCAGTTATCAAGACTGTCAATTACATGGGAAATGATTTGTGGATTCTTCAGATTTACAAGAAATCATGTTTCCTTCGAATATCTTTGTCATAACTAAATTGTCCATTAAATGTCCAGCATTCCATGCTACTCTTGTGCTTTAGTCATCATTTTACAGTCAGCTGATCACTATCTGAGACTTAATATTCATTCACTTCTGCATTATTTCCAGGGTTATTTCAATTCATCATAAAAACTCATTCTCCTTGAAGTGACTGAAATAAATGTTGCAAATACGCTGTGAGTTTGTTTACCTGCTAGTTAATTGTCAGGTTTTTTTTCACTTACTAGCCATTACTATATGCATGATGACATCTGGCTTTTAAAACGTTGGTTTATTACTACTCTAACGAATTTAGTAGTAGTATTTATTTTTAGTATGTCATTCACTTGTCTATCAAGTGAAATTTCAAGATAAATATTTTGGTTACTTACAAAGGATTTCAGTAATATCTTGATATTCAAATAAAAACCGAACATCAAGATAAATATTTCAGCAAGAAATGAGCATACGATATAGACAAATTAGTCATATTCAAGCAAAGTAATCAGAAAATGGTAGAAAGTAAATATTAATGTGAATTTGTTATATTTGATCGATGTATCATAGTGGTACTATAACGAGTGTACTTGATACAAAACAACAAAGTATATCAAACTTTTGCAAAGAAAAATCATAGGGTATTTGTTAAATATTTTCTTATTTTTCATAAACATCCTGTGAAAAATATTAAAACTGGTTGAATTATAAAGACTGAGTGAATTGTGAATTGCCATTGATGTGATCTCTTTAATTGGAAATAAAAATCTGAAGAAAATTCTCTATGAAATTGATATTCGCCATTGTATAATAGTTATATTATCACAAGACTATCTTAACTAATGATGAAGTTGATGTATATTTTCTTTCAAAACCTAGAAAAGGTAAGAGAGAATAACAATAAAAGAATATGTACTGTGTTCTTTAGCTAACAAATTTGATATAAAACTTATAAGAAATGTATGAATTGAGTGTACAAGAAGTGTACAGGAAGCCAATACACACTGACCAAGTCCTCAACTACATTAGCTACAACCCAGCAACCCACAAGATCAGTTGCGTACAAACTCTATTCAGAAGAGCGAGAACATACTGTAGTACAACAACTTCACGGAGAAACGAAGAAAATTACTTGATGTCAACCCTAAGGAAGAATGGCCACCGGCGAAACTTTATCAGAAGATGCCTATCCCCTACATCATCAACTACAAAGTCATCGACAGAAATCAATAAATGCATCATCCTACCATATATAAAGAATATATATGAGAATTCACGACAAGATTACTGAGGTCATTATGCAGACCGAAGGGATGCAACAACCAAAGAAGACAAACCGAATATCATTTACAAAATCAACTGCAATAACTGTAGTGAGCACTACATTGAACATGGTAATCGCCTTCTTCACATTCGTCTACATGAACACCAATTGACTATTAAATGTTACACACGACATTTGGTCACTTATTTCAATGCACGTGGATAACAACTATGGACACAAATTCAATATCGACAATGTTCAAATGTTGGATGGAGAGAGGAAACACAAAGAATATCAGAGAGTTCCTAGAAGCTTAGCATTCAGGTCAGTCAGTCAGTCAGTAATCAATAGATGTATAGACATAGACCCAATTCTATCAACCAATAAGACAAATGATAAAGGACAGAATGGTCAGAGGTCAAGCAGAGGGACAGTCCATAGGAAAATCTATACATTCAATGACACAATCATCAAAGGAAACAACCAATCACAACCAGTCCATCAGGGTAAGCTACTTAATCATTCATGGAGAGTTATTGACAGCTCACTTCATACTGAAGTTAGTGCTGATGATGTTGTCTAGAAGAAAGACGATGAAAGCTTCACGATTAAACAGTCCATCTCAGAGAACAAAATACGACCAAGACCATCCACTTGAGCTACAAATATTCTCCACTATTTTATGAATTGAGTGCATTTTCAATTTTCTAATTTCGAGGAATCTTGAACTTTAGTACATCCTTACACAAATTATTATTTGTTGAGAAAATCACTATCCTTAACATCGGTTTACAATCAATTAAGGTTTAACGATAAATATGACAGAATATCAGCTTAGCAACATTAATGCATACCAATGAGCAATGTATTCAACTTTTAGGGTTCTAATGTTATCATTTATTGAAATTACAAAACAAAAGTCATTAGATTCTTGACAAATCGATATTAATTCGAATTGTGGGGATTTATTAATTGATTTTAGATTGTTATTCATCATAGACTGATATAAGTTGAAGGAAAATTGAAAAGCTGGGAACACTGGAAAGCTGTTTTGTCTAACCATGGGACTCCTCAGCAATGATTACTCATGACCTCGTCCCACCAGGGATTGAACCTAGGAGCTTCATGTTCCGTGGCTAGCACGCCAACATTGATCTATTAGGTCCAATCCAATGGTTCATATTTCCAACTCCTGACAATTCGTGGCATAGGGAGATCATCACACAATGTCTTTGTTGAGTATTTGTCCTCATGTCTACCAGGTTTGCTCCACCGCATGACCTGAAGGTCATTGGTTCGGTCCCTAGTGTGGCAGAGTCATAGGTGTGCACCTCTGGGGAGTTCCATACTGGGATGAAACAGCTCCCAAGTTTCCAATGTTCCTCCAACTGATGTCAGTTCATAGGGAATAGCAACTTGAAATCAATACTAAACTAGTCATTTGTCATGGGTAAAGCTGCGAATTATATAGAACCTCATTCTCTTTAATTCTGTTATAAAGTTCCAATATGTCTAACTATGTCATATTTTGTGTTTCTAAAGTCCTGCTTATTCCTCCGATTCCCTTGATATTGAATAGATTTCGCTTCAATCGGTTTTATTATTATCAACGATCATATCGAGAAGGCATTTCAAAATCATTATGATCTTAATTTCTGAGGAATATGATCTCAAGTGAATGACTTTTTATAATCGTCTGATAACGCATACGATTTCTACGTTTTAGACATATATTCAGTATAGGAAGCAGGTCAAATGTTGAATTCACTGAATTATTTACAAAATGATTGACAAATGTGAACGAATATCTTTTCATATTCAACGAAGTTCCAAAATAATTTGTGTGCTTTGAAGTTAATGAATCTAAAGTTCTTTCCTATGATCATCCTTTAATTTGTATTGCTTAATAGCCATGGAATGAAATATCCATCCATCTAGTAATTTCTGACTGAAAATCATTTTTTGGTCAATTGTAGTGTGTGCTACTGATAAGAATGGGTGTGAGTAGTATATGCCTAGAGGTCGACAGAAATCATAGGCAATTACAAGCAATGGGTAAATATTCTGCCTACAGAAATAAAAGAGACAGTGTAAGCATATGAAGAGAAAATTGAGATAGGCAGAAGTAGAAGAAGAGGAAATGAGATACATTAGTACTGTACAAAATGTCATCATATACATTCTGTCCTGAGTCTCAGTCTTTGTCGTGTCTTATAAGATGAATTTCACTGATAAAGTGAGAGTATGTTTTGAAATAGACTGAAAGATAAAGAGAAAAAGAACAGAAGTTCATGAGGTCATGAAAGTTTTTAAATACAGATTTAGGAGATTAAAATAACCGGGGTAAAGCGAGATTTATTTGTATCCTGGTCAAGAATTGATCGAATTTTTCTTATAAATATATTTCTGAGGAGGTTGTGGGGATTTGGAAATATTTCAAGTCGTTATTCATCGTAGACTGATATCATGTGAAGGAACAAAGGAAACATGGGAGTACTGCGCACTGCTCAGGAGTCCCATACTAGGACGAAACAGGTGTCCAGTGCAAGATTGTTAACGGTATCTTTCTGAAAACATAAATCAGGTTTTAGATTTTTTATTTCAACTGTTTCAGTAAACCGCAAAAGTTTGGGTTTCTATTGTTTTCTGATTACTTTGAACATGGACTTTATGTCAAGTATCAAGTAGATACCGAAAGATGGCGTAATTTAAACTCTATGAACCCTTAATACTCAACTTTGTAAGAATATTTTCAGAAACATGGTGTTTTCAATATTCATGACTTCGTGACCCTCTGCGTTTTTTTAAAATTTATCTTTCTATCGATTTCGTAACCTTCTGTTACCTTCTGAGTTAAATTCTTCTTATTACCTATTATAAAGTCTGTTAACATAAACAATGGTAGTGAGTAGAAATAGCGGCGGTTCTTTGAGCTGAAGAATTTTAATTTTTTTTGTAACTCTGTAATGAAAGAATGGAAGTTTCATCCCTGAGGATTATGGAGAAATTCAAGTCAATGCTAAATGACAATGAGCTAGAATCTCCACTCTTAAATCCTTCGATTTTGAAAAAGACTTTTCGTAAGTACTTCAGTGATAGACATAATGAAGCTGAAAATGAGTTCTAGAAGCCTGATAATATGAATCGTGTTACGCCAGTGGATGAGAACTATGTTATCCCCCCCTTCCACTACCCACCACGAAATAGTAAATGATACAGACATTCAATCGAATCATATTGATGAAAGCATGAAGTACCTGTCGAGAGTTTGTGAAATGATGCATTATGTTTATTGCCATCCTGCTTTTCCGCAACTATACCTCACAATGAAAGTTCTCAAGGAGTACCAGTGCAAGCCCAAACATCAACGTCAACAATTATACAGATACTCAAGGAGGGTCAATGTCTTTGCTTATCCATCAGTTGACATAATTGTTTCGTATGATAGTGGATTACTTTATCAAATACAATTTATGTCCGTACAAGAAAATGGACACCAGGAATGTCTGCAAGCCAGTTTCACTTCAGACATCACATCTACTAACCAGCAGGTAGCTAGAAAACCCTGAATCCACCCAAATATACAGGTTTTTCCCGGTGCATCAGACCGTCTGAAGCAAACCACTGGGTAGGATACTGTGGTGTTGACCATAGCGGAGTACCTTATCATTCAAACCAGCTACATCTAGATAACTCTGACTCAAACTGGGCACAAGATCTCAGGCTTTCATCTAAAAAAACTGAGGCTTGTTCGCAAACAGAACCCAACTAATATGACAGTACTATCTGCTCAAAAAAGTCTAAGTGGGTTTGTTTCATTGAGGTTGGCAAATTTGTGTAAACACTTCAGTGTTAAAAAAAGCCATGGAGACGATTAAATGCACACGACTGGTTGATAGAATCAGGGCCTTGCAGTATTGGTATTCTACACCTAAAACTATAGGAAATGTTTTTGCAAATACTTATCAGTCTAGTTTTCGTAAGCGGGGAGGAGAAGCTTCATCAGATATCCTTCTTCAAAGTGTCAATAAATCATCCCCCTCATTTCTAGCTCGAATTCAGTTACTTCAGACTATGTCATAAGACAGATACAGAAAAAGAGTATTCAGGAATAATTTATCACGATTTATCAAAGCGTTACCAGTCAATTAGACGCTACTGTTGTACTATGAATTTCTACTTCATTGGGGAGGTGTTATAGTGAGCAGAAAGACTGGTAAAATCTTTATAAGAAACCTCATATGCGTAAAGCCTTTTTCAACCAATCGCTTTCCGTCGAAATTTCGGGAAAATAGACGTGAAAACAACGCGTAAGTATCAGATTGGTGAGACGAAAAACTAATGGAATTTAAATCTAGTAGGTCTGGGAATACCTCATGCCATGGTAATATGTATAAACCTCATAATTTGTTTATAATGTTAGAACGTTGCCGTTGAATTTAAAATTAATAGGCTTTCTGTTCTTTTACCGCCTTTTCTACTTTTGAAGAAACTGAATTACCATTAACAGTGGAATCTGAAGGTATTTTCACACGCATCCAGACGTACGTAATCGAGGCTCTATCAAGTCACAGTAAAGATAAATAAAATCTTATCACTGGGGTTATTTCA